TGATGATGATGATGATGATGATGAGAAGAATGATGATCGATATTCGTTCTTAATGATTCCCCGAATCGAACGGGTTCGTATATCGGATCTTTGATCCGATCGTAAATCTGATCACTATTGGTTCTCGAATAGATAGATTCGGAACGGGTTCTGTCAAAATGATCGTATTTATCGTTATACTTAATATCAGATTGCATCGATCTATCGTACGATTGCATTAAATTCGATGTATCTTTTCCTAATTGTTGTGGCTGATTTCGTAATTTTACTTTGTTATCTTCCACCGACTCGTAACGACTAATTATTTCTTGAGAAGGTTTGGAACGATAAATCATATTTTTAGCCGATTGCGTTTTATCGTTACATTCAGACGATTGTTGAATCTCTTCGGAAAAATCTTGATCCCGACTGGAGACACCATCGTCGATCAACGATGGTCGAGTTAATTCTTGATCCTGGCATAACGGCGCAGGCATCGAACTTGGCGCCGAACAAACCCAAGATTGTCTTGTCCTTGGCGATAAACCAGGAATCATACTGACCGATCTACGCTGCCTGTGCTGCCCACTTCTTTCAGGAGAACGTAACCGCGGTCGTTGATTCGTTTCAGGATTGTGAGCCGTCTCGCCGAAATATCGTTGTAAAATATCGTCCTCCTTGGAAACGACCAGAAGTCGTAGCCAAGGCCCTGCCTGTTGAATACGTTGAACTACTTTTGCATATTGTTCACCGCGTGTTGGTTTCCCGTCAACGGAAACCACCCGATCACCTGTTCGTAAACCAGCTTCGGCTGCAGGAGAATTTTCGCGTACTTGTTTCACGAATATCGTATCCATTGGCTCATCTATTTTCGTTCGTTCGTGATCTGGTAGCATCTAGTGGAAATTAATTTTTTTTTCTTTTATAAACAAAGTGTATCAAATCACACGAAACTTGAAAACGGATTTCAATAACTTACGGAACAAGATTCTGGCGGATAAACGATAAAATGACGAAGAGTGAAGCCAAAACCATTCTCTCCACGCTGCAACAACAATGTTCTTGGACTTCGAGGCGGCGAATTATCTTGAATCGATGGATTATCCTTCGTTGTCGCTGTTGTGACACCGGCCACGATTCCGACATTTGCTCCTGTTGACAGTGTCGACGCTGCAGGTGGAGACGAACCATGTTCTATCTAAAAGAAATTTTCTTCTTTATTTTTTTTTTTTTTTCATTTTTGAACATGTACTTTGTAAGTATGTATAATTATTAAATAATAATTTCGCACAACTAGTTTATATCAAAAATATACAACCACACAAAAAATTTCGTGATTGTATTCCATTTGAACGATGACAATTTATCTCATAATTGTGACATTATTCTTTTCCTGTTTTTTTTTAAACGATCGAAGAAAAAAGAAAAAAAATGGATATCACTAATGTTAAAAAAATTTTTGTAACTAAGGAATAGCGGGAATAAAGATTAGCGATGAATTTATAAAATAACAATTGCAACAAAATTACGAAAAATTCGAGAAAGAGAGAGAGAGAGAGAGAAATGTGAGAAAAAAATAGAAAATAGAAATTTAAAAAAATAATACGTTCAAAAATAATAATGTGTAAACTAATTTAAAAAATTAGAAATATAATATATATATGCATATGTATTATTGAAAATGCTACGAATAGTAAGTAAATGCATGGGATTAAAAATCTTTGTATTTAGCTTTCGAAAAGCACTCAGCGATTCAATCTTTTCAGTTTCTTCCCTTTCTACGTCTCGAAAATGCGTTTCCCAGATTCGTTCACTAAAATAAACCGAATCAAAGTTTGGCACGATCGTTTGGTTTTACGTACCGTGTGCGCCTGCCCAACCAACCCTTGAGAATTATTTCGGTCCTCAGCCATTGTGCTGTTTCCTGAAAGATTGGAAATTAATATTACGAAAGTATCTTAAGAAATAAGAATAATAGCCACGAGTAATATTAAATCTGTTTCTTTTAATATTTCATATTTAATTTCGTACACGGAATAAATGTATCAAAAAATTTTCTTTTACAAAATTTCTTTTCATACTTGAAAGATTTAAAAAGTTAATATCGAATATGTTTCTCAATCTTACGTGTAATATACATTAAAATTATTATACGTACATGTATATACATACATGCATAGACATCGAACGGTTGAACAGCGAGCCATTCTACTTTCTCTGTAACGCGACATACTTTCATGATATAATTTACTCTACTTTTGTTTTAATTTGTCGTTTTAACATTTTTTAATAAATATGAAAATAAAATATATGTTAATTTACAAAATAAGCAATTTGTAAATTAAACAGAAAAAAAAAATCTCGTGATCTTGATTATTCTATAAATAAAATATTTTTCGACCTAAATAGAAGGTAAAACAATAAATCGTATTATATGTATTACCTATTTTAGATACAATTGAATATATCCAATACCTTTTGCTTATTCTATTCTAAGGAATATCCATTTCGTGGATAGAATTTCTCTCTTCTATCTTATATATAAGTTTTTCATATTTAAAAACGTTATAAATAGTTTATAATTTCTTTAGTCATTCTTTAGTCCGGAAGAAGTCGGAATAATTTTATATGTCGGAAAAACCAGATAATTAAAATATTTAAATATATACTATAAAAAATTATTCGTACTATTTTTTTAATCGAAATATATATGAAATTCTTTATTTTTTTTCATTTTACTTTTTAATTATTAAATTAACTTATGTTTTTTTTATTTCATATGTTTTCTCATTATCTACTATATACAATTACCTACTATATTTAATTATATACAATTAATGGACAATTCATACTTTTCTTTTTATTCTTGAGTTTATTTTTGATCAAAATTAATTCAATATAAAAATCACTTTGTTCATTTCCAAAAATATATTAACCAATTCATAACTGATAAACTGAATCGTCGTTATTAAACATTGACGATTATTATGATAAGCGCGCGATAGGAAATTGAGAATATAGCTTGCTGTTTTTTCTCAAATATGTTATTTCGTTATAAAAATTTTTATTGAAAATATATATATATATATCTATTCTCATTCTTTTCTAAATTTTTACATAATAATTTTTTGATATTTTTCTTTAAATTATGATTTATAATTATAATATCGAATATTTTTAAAATATAACGTTTTAAAATATTCGTTTAAATCGTGATACGTTTTTTTAAATTTTTTAAGAACAAAAACATAATCGCATAATAAATTCAATAAACAAAATAATAAATAAACTCAATAAATAAAATATTTTAAATAATCCACGAAATTCGATACATGCCTGTATTATATATATATATGTGTGTGTGTGTGTGTGTGTGTGTGTGTGTGTGTGTGTGTGTGTGCGTACAAGTGTGTTTGAAAAATCAAATTGGAGGGAAGTAGAAAAGATGAACATATACTCTGCGTATGTGTGCGTAAGAAGGAAAGGCGGAGGAATGAGATAGAAAGAGAGAGAAATGTAGTTACTAAACCTACAAATACACACCTTAAGTAGGAAGTATCGCGCTTCCAGTGCTCGCAGCGCCCCTGTCGTTGCTCCCTCGTTTTTCCCGATACGGGAATAAATTAATTTGTGCTATGAAATTTCGTTTGTCCTTTTAATTTTTTTCCTTCGCTCTTATAAAGTTTTTTCACACCGATAATATGCAGACGAATCAAAAAAAGAAACGCCAGGCAGTGTATACTTATTAGGATGCTCGCCATAAAAGTTATGTCGACAACCGACAAACTCCGTTTTTGTAGACATAATTATTCTTCTGATAAACGTCTTTTTAATTAAACTTTGATAAACACTGATGCATTACCAAACGGACACATGACTTGTAAATTAACAAAAAACGATACATTTATGTAGCAAAGCCATAGTTATAAATGGACATCAGCACTCCAGTTTTCTATCATTTTGAAACACCAGTGACGATGATCTTTTCCCTCTAGCATGATGAAAATAAACAGCAGAACCTTTCAACAAACGCATCTCATGTCAATCGAATCGACGCTTTGATTCATGAATATACTATAGGTTAATTAAAAAAGTTTGTACAAACCATATCTTTTAATTTCATTTTTAACTCTTGTCAAATAGAATGATATACCACAACACTTTTAACATATTTAATGAATCTTCACATGAGAGTGTTAACGTATTTAATACAATATGATACTACTTACACGGCACGACACAGAAATATGGCGACCTAAGGGAACCCAGCACACTGTCGACAGTGTCGAAAGTCCATGAAGATAGTCGTCATTAGAAATTGAGGGAAAATAACTTTTATTGAATATTTTTATTGAGATATTTTAACACTATTTGTAATAATTTAATTTTAAAATTTTGAATTCGTGAAAAAAAATATCACGAAACACTATTTTCATGCCCGCCATTAATCTTAACTGTCTTCCTCAACATTTAACATTTTCTTTCTTTTGTACTCCCTCTTCTTTCCACCGCGGGCCATCCTCACTTCCCCACCATACCCTACTACTGCACTCGCACTCTTTTACTCTACCCTTCTCTATCGTGCAATTCTCGTCAAGTCTTATTTTGCTAAAGTATACATTCGCGACATCTAGGTATACGTCGAATAGTTGATTATGGTCAGAGACGCGGTATAGGCACAGACGACGCGTATAATAGATCTAACATTCAATGCATTTTTTCGTTTTATGTATCAAAGGAGCTTTTCCTTTCATATTATTGTTATTTTTAACATTACCGATTGAGCATAGCATAAGATTACAATTATTTGTAACGAAATGACGAAATTTTTGAAAATTGTATGTCATGTAAAAGCACGAGACGAAAAACAGAATTCATGTAACATTTTATATTTTGAAATATCGATTTCAAAAAAATCGAAGTGTTTTTTACGCCATCTAACGTGTTATAATCTATATGCAGTATTAGATACATCCGAAATATATACATCGTTCGAAACAGTCAAATGCTTTATTACAAATTAGATATCGTATCGTATTGTGTTTGTATTATGTTTATTTGTGAGCATTATATCGAGTTATTATTTTTAACGACAATAATTAATTTTCTAAAAAATTATTTGTTAACAAGAAATTTAAGAAATTTAAAAATATACGTATATAGAGTAAATTATAATATAATGAGAATATTATAAATATTTTAGAATTTTTTTTTATTAAAATTAACTCAAATATAATATCATCATAATTGTTTCTAATTATTGTTGTAATATATTAAATTTTGTACTATCAATTTTGAAACATTTTTCTATTATTATAATTATATAATACATATATAATAAATTATTAACTAATGATGATATATTTTTATCTCATTTCCATCTACAACGGTTCCACAGACACATATAAGCAAAAATATGAAAAACGAAATAAATAGTAATCATTAATATAATGTCCATCCAAAAATTAGTTTCATTAAAATCGTAGCGATGTAGAACTTGAATTCCATCGGTAATGCAAGGTAATTCAGGATCAGTTTCTTCACAAGCTAAAAATATTAAAATATCGAATGATTCGTTATTATTATCTTACATATTTATTTTTAACGATTTAATACGAAGGTAATATTTAACTTTTATACAAATGAACAGATTAATATTTACATATATTATGTACATCGTTCCATTGTAAAATTGTAAGCGCTTCGGTAGAATGTAATAACCAAGAAATATATTTTACCCATTGGATATATACTGGTAATGATCTAAAATATATTAACTGTTATTTCAAAATGATTTCATTTTGCGCATATATATATATTCGTATATGCATATAATTTTCATTTTCGTTTTACTTTTTTTTACTTTTTCTAGCTATTTGATGGTACGTTCAAATAACTTATAATTATAAATATCCTACCCTAGTTTGAGAAATGGACCCATAGTAATCATAAGAATATAATCGAATGGTATCAAGTAAGCCATTGCCAAAGGTACACTTTCAAATGCTGTTGAAAAAAAGCATCCTAAAAAAAAATATATATGTTTGTATTAATAATTAATTTTATTTACATTCTATTTTTATTATTCATCTTTTGATTGTATAAAAATTGTTCTAATAAAATTTTACCACATGCAGTCGATACATTTATGGTAAGTAGAAGAACAAGTAAGGTAAATCCAAAAGTTTCGATATTGTCTCGCAATCCAGCTAACCAATATAGAATCGCCGTAAACAATAGCGGTTCTATTATTAAACCAGGTATCTGTAATATATTCATTTTTTAAATTATTTCTTGGTATAAAAAAAATTAAGAATCATATTTAATAATCGAAACTATGAACATTTTTTTTTTTACTCACCAAAGAAAATATACGTGAAATATAATACAGATAAATCGGATACATTCCAGCTCGATATTCTCTTCGAAGGAGAGGTAATTCCTGCGGTATCAAGGCTAACGTAGCATACATTGGAAAAAATGCATTTTCAGATACCAGTATAAAAATAACACCTTGTAAAGCTTGAATCCCGAGTTGATCAAAATTTACAGCACCCATAAAACACAAACCACCGATCGTTGCTATACTCTAACACATTTTTTTTATATTATACTTGCGTTCTTAATTTACGCAAAAATGTTTTCACATATATATATATATATATATATATATATATATAAATCATCGAATCACTCACCACTTTTTGAAATATTCTAATTATTTGTACCGATGGATCTCTCAAAACTTGTAAGAAGTGACGATAAATTAACCAGAAAAGTCGTGAACAATGTCGTCTCTTTTTCTTCTTATATGAACTAGTTTTAATCTACACACGCACATATATTAAAACAATATCGAATACACAAGATGATATCGCTTAAAATTATTAAAATTTCATCGAATTACTCGTGTGATAAATTCAAAATTAAAAAATAATTCGTTCGAATGGAGTAATAAAGAAAAAGCAAACGATAAATATTTATTTCTTTTTCATCATTAAAGATGCTACGAAAAAATAAATTAGATACTTACAGTCAAAGAAGATATTGAACTCTGTTTCTCTATGATACGATCGATTTCGTTGGAAGCTTTACTATTTAAAAAAATATCGCATATCTTGTGAGCTACTTGTTCACCATCTTTATTTTTCGATCCCGTGGCTACAATCGCTATCAGGAAATCAGCAGGATTATATTTTCGCGGGCATTCGTAGCCCTGACTAGAGAATGAATCACAGTTGGATGGAAAAAAAAGAAGACGAATAATTTTTTTATCGGGAATCTTACCTTGCAAAAAATTCTACCGCTTGATCGATTCGACCTGAAAATGCAACTCGACCTTCGGCAATCAATATTATTCGATCAAAGGAACTGAATATATCAGAACTTGGTTGATGTATCGTGCATAATACTGTTCGTCCTTTTGCTGCGAATGATTTCAATTGGGAAATCACACAATTTGCCGAATGAGAATCTTGCCCAGTTGTCGGTTCATCCAAGAATAATATCTTTGGATCTGTCAATAACTGAGAAAAATTGTTAAAAAAATGGATCGTCAAAAATGGATATATTTCGATGATAAGAAGAAGAATTTACCATTTATGAAAAGAAAGAGGTAAAATCAAAATTAATAGAAGGAGAATGAAAAAAATAAGTAATAAACTAGAAAAAAATTGTTATACGTTTAAAAGAAAGAAAAAGATAAAATATTATAAAAAAGAATATATCTGTATCGTACTTCTGTAGCAAAAGACAACCTCTTTTTTTCACCGCCAGACAATACTTTGTCATCAATGCTATTACCAATTCGTACATCGCGTCTACTCGTTAAGCCAACATCTTTTAATAAATTGTCAATTTTTCTTTCAATATCCAATACTCGTAAATTTCCGTCAAGTTTCATTCGAGCCTGTATTAAGACAGAAGCAAAAGGTGAGATAAAAACCATCAAAAACGAATGTGAATGATCTCGGTCTCTTACCATAAACCAAAGATGTTCGATCACTGTCATTGTCGCGACAAATATATCTTCTTGATGCATGTAACCACTGTTCTGCATCATATAAGAGGAATCTATCGCCATTCCATTTGCTCGTATATCACCATGAATTAAATTTTCGGCTACATGTAAAATCGAAAAATTATTAAAAAATTAACTTAATATTGGATTGAAAGAAGAAAAAAAAAAAATAAAAGGGAAAAAATACTCACATCCCGTGCGAAAAGCCAGAGCCGCTATCAATGAACTTTTACCAGATCCACTGAATTAAAGAGAAAGAAGTTAAAAAAAGAAAAAAATAAGGAAAAAAAAAAAAGAAAGAAATAAAAATTTCAATTATCTATATAAAATCTTTTCAATAAATAATCTTACCTTGCACCAATTATTGCTGTTAGATTTCCCGGTTCTGCTACACCCCGTACTGAAATCGAACAAAATTTAATTCGAATTTCGATCAAATGAATATTTATTTTACAACGAACGAGTTCGATTATCGAACGAAAATTGCACAACGAAATATTACACACCGCTATCGATTAATCGTTTGCGCACATTTTTTCGACCACGATCCATCGCATATACAGAAAGATTTTTCCATGTAAGCGTCACACCTCCCGTATCATCTTCCGTAAGATAATTATGTTTTTTACGAAACCATTTACCTTCTTTTAAAACGTACATCGTAATTAAGAAGATTTCGTTTTATTTATTTCTATTCCGAAGTGATCGCAAACAAGCAACCGAGTACCCGATTGAAGCAAGTTATACCACAAATGAGATTGTCGCTGAACCCGCCGTGATATGCGATACCTCTTACGTTCCCACTCGATCTATACCTAGGAAGTATACCGTTTCTCTATATTTCTTTGGTTGAATAAAATCTTGGAATGTATATATATTGTATGTATAATTTATATATTTCAATATATCAGTCTAATTATTCGATAATAAACTTTTAAAATTCTCACAATTCTATTATTATATTATAACTTGTTTTAATAAGAGGAAAAATATGACTGAAAAGGATTCTAAGTAAATTTGAGATTAGTTTAATTTCAATTCAAAAATCAAAAAAAATAAATATGTTCGTGTACTTTAATTGGATATTATTAATTTGGTATATAATATTAATAATATAATATACGTATATATTGCAAAACAATATGATTCAAAATTGAAATTTTGTCTAACGATAAATGAAAATTATATAAATTGTATATATCGTTTAATATTGTATCGTTAAATAAGTATTTCAAGAAGATGAAAGAAAACTTAAAGTATTATAGTAATCGAAGATGGAAACCTTATATCTGTTTTGTACACGTAAGAATTCCTTATATATGCATACTTACATGTATACATATACTATATTTCTTTATATATTTTTAAAAAATTATTTAAAAGGATTTCATATATATATACTCTTTACAAGAATTAGAATTACGTTCTTTTCACTATGGCAGTATATTTTATTGCAATATTTGTTTAATAATAAAAAATAAAAAGTTGAATCATTTTAAAAAATAAGTTGTTAATTTAAATTTTTGTTTCAAATTGATTT